AAAGAAAGGCCACCATCTACAGCAACATTGAAGGAATCAGGAGAAGGCTTGCATGCCAATATCAGATGGACTGCTCTGCAAAATTCTGGACGATGTGGTAAAAAATGAGACACACCAAGGGATGCACAACAGACACCTCAGACAATCCACAGCTGCACTAATAGACAAAGATGTGCCTGCTTGTTAGCATATGGCAATTAGTAAAACTATTTAAAATAGAAATATAAAGTCAGAGTAAGAAACACTACTTAAAACATTTTGGGGTGGGAGTGCAGGGAGATAGGTGAGAGGGAAAGAGCCAGAAGTTGAACATGAAATGCTTGAATCCATGAGATATACAGAGACAGACAATAGGAAGACATGACTAGCTAGCTAACCTGTCAGGTCAATCACAATAGTATGTGGCAGGAGCTACTGCAATGGACTGTGACGAGGCTGGAGGCAAATCCAAAGGCAACCTTTTCATTTTTTTTAAAGTGCCAATTGAGAATGACAAATTTGGAAGATGTCAGTCAATAGGACAGATGAAAAAGTGTGACACACCTGTACAAAGTCCTGTCTAATGTGATTATAACACAATTTGTCTTCGTATCTAAATGTTAAAATGAAATGGATCAACTCTCATATTGAAGTAGAGATAAAGGAGAAACATAGGGACAATGGTCTAGTTGTTAACAGTTAAAAAACAAACATGATCCAAAGCCCATTAGTAGGCCACTGGAGATCCCCTTGCAGAGGGGTCTCGGGGAGGAGATGAGCCAGTCAGGGTGCGATGTAACAATGATGAGAAATACAACCTTCCTCTAGTTCCTAAAGGTTTCCTCCCCGCTCCCACTACCATGACTCGAATTCTATCTTGCAAGACTGGCTAGACCAGAGGAGGTACACTGGTACAGATAGGAACTGAAAATACAGGGAATCCAGGACGGATGAGCCCTATAGGACCAGTGATGTGAGTGGAAAAACAGGGAGGGTGGAGGGAGAGTGGGTAGGAAAGAGGGAACCAATTGCATGGAACTGTGTGTGGCCTCCTCCCTGGGGGACGGACAACCGAAAAGTGGGTGAAGGGAGAAGTCGGACAGGGCAAGATATGACAAAATACCCATTTGTAAACTATCAAGGGCTCATGCGGGAGGGGGGAGCGGGGAGGGAGGGGAAAAATGAGGACCTAATGTCGGGGGTTTAAATGGAGAGAAAATGTTTTGAGAAACGATGTACAAATGCGCTTTACACAATTGATGTGTGTATGGATTGGGATAACAGTTGTATGAGCCCCTAATAAAATGTTAAAAAAAAAGAAAAGTCATTCACACAATTTAAAAAAACAAAAAAAAAAACAAACATGGATTATGAGATTATGAACAAAGAGGATTCTGATTACCATTTAACATTTATATTCCAAACATTTCCCAGCACATACAAAGCCTGTAACACCTCTGGAATTATTCTGCGGAGTTGTCGTTTAGCTATTTCCTTGATCTACTTGGGAAGGGAAAACAAAGCAGCTCTAAATCAACTGTGAAGAGCATGTTCCGATTTTCACAAGTGAAAACTTCCAGAAATCACAAACTCAAGCTTTGTAGTTTATATCTGTGTGAAACTGACACATTCCTAATGCCACCATTAGATATTATCATACAAGAAAACAGTGCAACCCTACACCAATGACAGCCCTCAGAATATAACAGTTACCAAGAGCTCTAGGTGACAAAACCCAAAACCCAAACTCCCTGTCACTGAGTCCGCTCTGACTCATGGTTACCTATAGGGCGCAGAAGACTGGCCCTGGGTGTTTCCGAGACTGTAACTCACTACGGGAATAGAAAGTCTTATTTTTTCTTCTGCGGTGCAAGCTAATGGTTTTGATCTGCTGACCTCGTAGTTGAGTAGTCCAAGATGTTAACTAGACCACCAGGGCTCCTCTCTAGGAGACAAGGAGATGAAAACAAGGGCAACATTTCACTTTCATCAAGCATTTGCAATTAATAGAGAGTAGTCTGTTCTTGGAACAGAGCTAATCTACTTTAGCCCTGACTTAATAAAATAAGATTTAGGATGGGATATAACAAAAAAAAACCTTCCAAACTACCTGTGTTAAAAAGTTTGAATTCTTTCAGCGTTGCTTGGAAAAATAAATAAATGGAAGTATAAAGGGAGAGATAGAACCGTGTTTATTTACTGCTACCTGTCCAAGTAGGGTAGACATTTTTACACATTTACTCTTATAACTTTGAAAACTGCTGCCCACCTCTTTATCCTTGAGGAAATAAAGAAATACAACACTCAAACAAAAAAAAAAAACAAACATAATTATCTTATACAAATTTGAAGGGAAAATAATCCAAGATCCAGACTATTTAAGAAAGAGGGACGGGCAATAGGATCTTTAAGGATAATCGATAAGCTCGTGTTTATAGACTTTCTCTTACAAGAATGTTTAGATGGCCTTTCTGGTAGTTTTTTAATTCTACCAAAAGATTGTTATGGGACTATAAAAAGAAGTCTGTTGCCTCCCATGGGATTAGACAGCTTGCTGCTAATGCAAATCAGTTTCATGGCACACTTGTGGGGATGAGGCCATGCAAATATGGAACATGAAACCATAATGAGGAAATTAGTCAATTTTCACTATCGCCATCCGAGTTTAAAATGAAACATTCCAGAGTTGGACAGTAAAGATCATTACCACCAAAATAAAGAGACAAGAGTGAAGTGTGTCCTTTGGACCCAGGGTCCCTGCACAAAGAACCTCCTAGACCCAGGAGACAGAAAGCTGTAATGCTGGAAATGGCATAAGATGGTCAGAGCAGTAGCAAAGGAACAGCAGCAGCAGAAACAGGAGATTGGCTTGATATGATGCAGTGGGTTTCCAGGTCCACAGAACAAAGCAGTTACAGTGGGTGAGTTGGCCTATGGAGCAAGAGAGCTCAGTACCTTCAGGTCAAGACTAACTGGAGGAATAAGTGCCTATGAGCACTTCATGGCAGAGCTGGGGAGCTTTGTAATACTTACCCATGTCAGGCAGAAGCCAGGCCAAGGGGTCAAGGGCCAAAGCCAAGACAAGGGACCACGGGCCGGAGAGAGACCCATCTACAAGCACAGCTGAGAAGAGGTGTTCTGATCAAAGAACTATCTCCTGAGTCCTTTCTTAACCTGAATTGTAGCCGGTTACTTCCCTAATAGACTCCCTAGCAGAATATGGACTGTGAGTTCTGTATGGGCAGTAGCAGAATATGGACTGTGAGTTCTGTATGGGCGGTAGCAGAATATGGACTGTGAGTTCTGTATGGGCGGTAGCGTAGAAGGTGCCACGGAGGATCAGTCTGTGTCAGATGGGTAAAAAGACTGGAGAGAAGAGGCATATCTGCCTGTGCCTCGGGAGCAATCAGTTTTGGGCTGACTTTGATAATGATTCTCTTCTCCTTCGGTGAAATTACAGGTCAGGCACCTTAGCTATCTACATATTTTCAGTTTTTTATAAAAAAACAAACAAGCATTTTGTCCATTTTTTAATTACAAGAGACACCTATGAATCAGGGCAACAAGGGGTTGTCCATCCCCAAAGAAATATTAATTAACTCTGACACACTTCCCATCTTGATTTCCAGATCCATTTTTCTACTGGGTAAGAGAAAGGTTACTGTTGAAAATAAGGAATTTCTGTTTCCGATTGTTTTTCATGCTCCCACTTTCGGGTTTTTCCTCATTCCAGTCCAGAAATCCCTCCACCCAGAGTTCACGTGTGCTCCTTGTCTAGTTTTGTAAAAATATCCACTGATTGTAAGAATCTGACTAGCTTTCCATTTGTTTTGCCTCAGCTCCTACATTAATCCAAACACTAAGGGTCTTTAAAACATTCATAAATAACCTGCTGCTGCTGGCACCTAGGAGCCAAGTGCAGCGGTGTTAAGCAACAACGAATTTCATAGTTCAGGAGGCACAGTTAAGAAAAAAGGTTGCTCAGGAAGTCGCTCTTATTTAGCACAAAAATCCTTAAAAATTGCATGAAATCAGTCAAGTAACTATAGAAACCAATTTCTTCAGCTCCATATCACACGTCTCACACCTCAATTGTCTTTATTATCGTCTGCTGTCAGATCCTTAATCAGAAATGTGAACAGGCTTGATGATTTATTCAGCAGGGAAAAGCATCGGTAGGTCAAGTGAAAAATTTCACACACGCCCATACACATGCCACATCTTCAACCTTCGGTACTTTCATTTCATTCTGTTCCCAGCAGCTCTGGGGGCAACTCCAGTGAGATCCAATATTAAGGCTCAATTAAAATAAGCTCCAATTAGTGGAGCTTTTTTCTCTGGGGCTAGAAAAGTCAGGAAATGGATATTGGGAAATGTAAAAAGTCGGCTACTGAGAGGAGGCTGCAGACATAAATGAACTTATTTGTTGATTTCTACAGTTGCTATGCAGAGGCCTCTGGGAGTAAAAGCTTAACCAGTCTAAGCTATAAACTAAAAACCCTGCAGCTAAACATGAACTGTGTGAAACAAGGGCTCCATTCCAGAACAGAAAACTGCTGGGCCCAGAAAATTAAAAGCCAGAGGCGTTTTCCATTTAAAACTAAATCCCAGTACCGCCTCCCAGCCAAAGAATTATAAGTAGTATCAGATTTACAAAACGAACAATTACCCTGAAAAAATGTAGCCTATTGTACAGTCCCAGATGCTAAATCTCAAAAGTTTCTTTATTTCTTCTTCTTTTTTTTTTATAATCCCACATTATACCCTTACCAAGTACACTGCTGTAGTTTACAAAGAGCCATTTCTGGACAGGCCTAAGCCTTGAAAATAAATTTTTAAAAGAGAGCACATAACTCATTGACCTCATTTGAAGTCCTGCCCTTGCCTGGAGCCGTTCCTGTCCTTCCCCAAGGCTTCTGCAAATGGTATGCAACAGCAAAATGAACCGGCCTAATTGCCGGGGGAAAGCTGCCAACCTGCCCCCAAACACAAAGGCAAGCAGGGTAACTTGAAAGTCTTACCTCTTTGGCTTTCTGCTTTAATCTCAGCTGTTCTGGATCTTCTTTATTGGAACGACTCTATCAAAGGAAAAGAAAATTTTAATAGAAATTACTACCATCTAAACACCACAGCCGCCGTTAAATATTTAATAAATGACAATTTTCTCCTGTGATTGAAAATCTTAGCTCCAGGGGAAAATGCCTCGATCCAGTCTTGCTGCACAGCCGCGCGCGCGCCCGCCGCCCCCGCCCCCCAGCATCTGGGTTGGCTGCTGCAGTGGCCGCCCGGAGGAAGCGTACACTAAGAATGATGCTAACAATGTCAGTCAGGTCCAGTCGAGAACGGAGGCTGGCGTTCTCGTTGGAACACTAAACACTAGAAAACGGATGAAAGAAAACAAGGGTAATTGTTGGCACAACGGACTCCAATTGAAAACAATGAATACCGGTTATCTTCAGAGAGAGCATTTAGGGGAAACAAAGGGTATTTCCAGGACTAATAAAAAGCAGAATAATGCCTGAAGAACCTTGAACCCACTCTCTTTAAAAGCACGTTGAATTTTAATATATGAGGAAATATGTCCCAGTGTTCTCACTAGAATATCCTCTACAGCACTTCATAGTAGTCTGTGTACAGGTCATTTCACTAAGTGTGTCTTGCATGTCACTATCCACACTGGTTCCGGTTAACACTACAATCATGAACAGTCTTGGAGGACTCAGGTAAGGAGAGATCTACCTTCTAAACGAAGGCTGTGATGGAGCCAAGGGAAAGGCATTCTCTTCTGTCCACTGAAACAGCATGTCTGCAGTAGGTACCTTCTTTTTCTTATCGTGAACAAAGTTATCTAACACCTTACAAATTAAAAAACGTATCTAGAAAATTTAATATTAGCTAGCCAAACTAAAGATGATGAACAAAACTAAAAAGGTACAAGTCGTTTCTGATTTACCTGAAATTTTACTTATTTATCAGTTCCTTTGATAAAGGGACAAGAGAAACTGTTTAAAAATGTTAGAAAAGTTTCTAATTTTAGACTTTAATGATATAACAGCATATAACTCTAGTCAACACAGGCAATGTTCAGAAACTTAACCCCGATTCTACTAAACAACTTCATTTCAGCTGAAACAAAGACAATATTTTAATTGTTATTTCATCCATAATATTAACCAAAAATGAGTATGCTTGCATACATTTTATGAGTAAATAGGTGTTTATGTTTGTGTCTATGTCCGTAGATGGATTTTATCACATTGAGCTATCAAGCCTTTGTCAGTGGAGCAGTGACAGTTGAATACCACAGTAGAAATTCTACTCTGTATGCCACTGTTTTAGGTCTTAGCCAGTGGTTCTCAACCTTCTGAAAGCCACGACCCTTTAATACAGTTCCTCGTGTTGTGGCTGACCTGCCAACCATAAAATTATTTTTGTTACTACTTCACAACTGTAATTTTGCTACTGTTATGAATTGGGCGACCTGTGTAAAAGGGTCGTTCGACCCCCAAAGGGGTCATGACCCACAGGTGGAGAACCACTGGTCTTCGCGATCTAGACATTAATTAGCAAGATCAAGTCCCTGCTTTCATGAAACTTTCAATTCAAGGAATAAAAATAATAAAACAAAACAATTTCATAAAAATCATGCACCCACTTGACATGTTAAACATTTATGATGAGTTAAAATTAAACATGAATTGCTAGTACTAAGAAGAGCTCCCAAGAAAACAAAATGAGATGCCGTGATAGAGAGGTTCAGAGAGGGAGGCATGTGGATACTATTTTACTAGGATGGTGGGGAACGCACCCCAGAGATGCAGCAAGTGAGTAGAAATCTGAATGACCAGGACATAGTTGTGCACAGATGTGAGAGAAAAGATTTCAAGCAGAGACACAGAAATGGCCATGGCCTTAAAATGAAGCTAATTAGGGAGGGGTACAGGATGGAGGTGTCCTGCACTCAAGTCATAGCTGAGATGGTGATGATAAATGGTTATATTCAACATACATCTTACTGGTGAGACGAGCAGATTTATTGATAGGGATCTCAGATATGAAGCAAAGGCAGGAATCATGAATGACTTTAAGGATTCTGGCCTAAGCAGTAGAGAGGATGGTGAGTTTGACTTTCTGAGTTGGTAAAGACCTAAGATGAATCTGTCTAGGGAAAAGTAACTCAATGGTCAGCGTCAGACACTTGATTAGAAGTCTAATATCCTAAAGTGGGACATAAGCTTTGCACACTGAGAGAACAGAAGGGTTAGAGCAGTGGTTCTCAACCTTCCTCGTGTCGCGACCCTTAAACACAGTTCCTCATGTTGTGGTGACCCCAACCATAAAATTATCTTTGTTGCTACTTCCTAACTGTAATTTTGCTACTTTTATGAATCATAATGTAAATATCTAAAATGCAGGATATATTTTCATTGTTACAAATTGAACATAATTAAACATGATTAAATCATAGTGATTAATCACATAACAATATGTAGTTATATATTATGAAATATTTATGTTTTCCAATAGTCTAAGGCGACCCCTGGGAAAAGGTTGTTCAACCCCCAAAGGGGTCACGACCCACAGATTGAGAACCACGGGATTAGAGTGACTAGAGCAAGTGAGTGAAGAACATGAGACTGGACCAGCACAGAAAATCAGGGGGCTCAAATAATGTGAGGCCTTCTAAATGTTGGGAAGGAGTTCAGATTTTAAGTGTACTAGGAAAATATTGAAGGATTTTCTCACTCCTTATCATTGAGTCAATTTTGACTCATAACGACCCTACTGGGCAAGTTGGAACTTCCCTTGTGGGCTTCCAAGAGTGTAAACCCTTTCCAGGTATAGAAAGCCCCATCTTTCTCTCCTGAGGAGCTGCTGGTGGCTTTGAACTGCTAACCTTATGGTTAGCAGAACAGTATATAACTACTACACCACGAAGGCTCCCAGACTGAAGGATTTTACAGTAATGGCAATACACAACATTTGTCATGAAAACATTACTGGCTATAATATGAAGAATGGACTGTGGAAGGGAAAGAAGATTAGGTATAAGATATTATAGTAGCCCAGATGAAAGATGACTTATAGACTAAAACGGTGATAGTGCTAATGTAAGTGATGACAATGGTAACATAAAGATATTAAGTAATTGTGGAGAGATTGTGTCATTTACTTAAAAATAAAAGGCATTTTGATGGAAAAAGAAAACCAGAACCCTTTTGGACACATTAAATTTGAGATACCTCTCGGCCCACTAGGTAAAGATATCAAGTACCGTATATACTTGAGTATAAGCCACCCAGAGTCTCAGCCAAGGCACCTAGTTTACTACAAAAAATGCATTAAAAATGTGCTGAAAAACTCGGCTTATGCACGAGTATATATAGTATGCAGTTAGCCATGAGTAAGTACAGAGTTCCAAAATGAGGCTGAGGTGAAAAATATGAGAAATGCAGAGACAGAGAAGGCAATCTGGGACGAAAACTTGGACAACCCCAACATTTAGAAACCTGGTAAAAGAAGAAATACCTAAAAATAAAGAAGGCAAGTACAATACAATCAACAATCACTAAATATTTAATAGTTTACAAAATAAAATACCACTAAGCCACTTCATTACAATGGCCGTATGCTTGTTTGAGGATTCAAGAAGGAGAACTTTGCAGTTCCACATTCCTCTCTTTTCAGTGCCAAGGAGTGTGAGCATGAAGGGCAATACTGTGGAACAATGGGAAGCTGCACGAACCTGGGGATGGAGACAACTACAGGGGGAAGGTCCTGCTGGGCCCACAGTTAAGAATATGTGACACCCTACATCCTTGTAGGAGGGCTGAGTCACACGAAGGCATTGGTCGTTTTGAAAATACAAAGTAATAAGGGGTATAAAGCATAATTATTTGCCAAAGGTACAGAGCAGAGGGCACAGTACCTAATTACATGGACAATAAAAAGGATTTGTGGGAGGGGAGGTGGCAAACAGAATACAGAAAATTCGACTGAGCTGAAAGGTAAGTGACATTGAGTAAAATAAGTGAATTAATTGAAGAGGTAAGTGAATAAAAGAGAAAAACAAGTTAATGACTACTGGAAAAAATATTTACAGATTTGGAAAAGTTAAGAGTACAAATAACCCTAAAAAAAAGGACAAATAACCCTGATGTGTTGGGGTTTTTAATATGAACTCATAGTGTTATGGAATATACAGTGTTACAATAGCAGTGCCAGATGTATGTCTGTGTATATAGGTACTTGTACATATACACAAACACACATTGCTGACACATGTACACTGAAGAGGGCCCTCACGCAATGCCATCGTAGTAGCAATGAGCATACTCTATGTTTTACCTTAGTTTTAAATATCATCTTGAACTGAATATAATCAAAGCTTTTTGGAGAAATCGCTAACTCTAGGGCAAAGGCAGGAAAAGTGAATGCTGAGCCTGGAATATCTTATACCATAACGTAAGGGTATGTTCAATGAGTGATGGAAACACGTCTACAAATAGAAGTGCCAGCTCGCAGGACTTTTTACTCAAGAGCAATTTGAAACAACTAGATAAAAGCACTAATAAGTTACAACTTATTGAATCAAATAGAAATTCGAGATATAGTAAGATAATAATATAAACAAATGAGAACAGAAAGTTCTTCCAAAGACCAGATATAGGAGAAAAATTAAGATATAGCTGACTGTTCCCATAAAGATTTACAAACTCAGAAATCCTATAAACGGTTTCGAGATTATATGGCCACTGTGAGGCGGAATTGAATCGACAGAGGTGACTTTGGTTTTAGCTTTTCATTTTATAAGCACTATGGCCTTATTTTTGCAAATATTTAGAAGTGATGGGCCATTTGTCTGAAGCTTACCCTGATATGGTTCAGAAAAAGATTGACGAGTGGAAGTGGTTGCATAGACTAAAAGTCTTTGACAGGTAAAGAGGGAAAAAAGACTAATTAGAAAGTGTGTGTGTGTGTGTGTGTGTGTGTGTGTGTGTGTGTGTGAGAGAGAGAGAGAGAGAGAGAGAGAGAGAGAGAACAAATGCTGTATCATTTTAAACTACGTTGCTTAGGTAGACTAAGAGAGTGTGGCAGTTACATAATCTGTCAAACTGCAAAGACGTAGAGGCTAGCAGGGGGCCTCAAACTTTTTAAACAGGCAGCCAGCCAGTTAACTGTCCCTCGGATGCAATGGAGGGCCGGACTATAGTTAAAAAAAACAAACTATGAACAAATTCCTATGCACACTGCACATATCTTATTTTGAAGTAAAAAACAAAACGGGGCAAAAACACCCGGCGGCCTGGATAAATATCCTCAGAGGGCTGCATGTGGCGTGAGGGGCCATGGTTTGAGGACCCCTGGTAGCCTATCAATCAGGTCGAAGCTTGATTACTTCATTTGAAGGTGCAACGGAGATAAATAGCTCACTGGAGGCTAGATACACTCTCTCCCTGTGAGACATTCTGCGGACAAGCCACATGAAGCTACACTGATGGTGCCAGAGCCCTGGAGCTGAAGGAGATGTGGAGACCCATGCCAGTGCTGAGATGCTTCAACCGCCACTGGATCCACAGACTTTACACCCACTGTCCTGTGATCTTCCTGCATTTGGTGTCGTTGCATGTGTTGTGTGAGTCTGAAGAGTAATATATAGACTGGTATCGGACATATGGACTAATAGCAGAATTATGGATTGATCTGGACAGGAATGGAATGTTTTCTCAATATACAATTGCTCTTTTATATAAAAGTCTTTCTTATGAGTAATCTACGAACTTGTTTCTCTAGTCTACTAGGACTCACACAGAGAGTGAGTGTTCTTTGCACAATTTTGGCTACTTTACTGTACGTTTGAAATTATTTCCAAATGTATTAGTTAAAGAGCATGGCTGGTGTGTGATGAAGAACAAATGCTTTAAAAGGAGTCTGCTAAAATAACAGAAGTTAAATTTAAGTTGTTTAAAGTAACCTTAAGGCTTTACGACTTCTTGTGACAACCCACAGCTTATGAAGAAGTGTGGAGCAACAAAGTACAAACTGAAGTGAAATTAGCTTTAACTCAATCTAGCACTAATAGTCAAAGGATATGGGTAATAAATAAACTCACCTATTATTATTTTAACTTTCTCTCTAACCCATTTCTGCCCATCTCATATTTTGTTTCATATACTCCTAATTATTCCAATTTACCTGGCCCATTTCCCAAGATTTTCTTTCAACCCAATCAGGCACATATCAAATCATATTCCCCAAAAGATCTTGAAACTTTTACAAAGCACGTAATTCTACCTGGGAGGTAGTAGGTGTGATGAGGAACACAGGAAATGAGCACAGAAGACAATAGCTTACAGCTCATTAAACGACGGTGACTGAAAGCCACGTGTTATGCTGCCCTGGCTGTGGGAGCTTCTATTAGCAATTTCATTTCAAAAATCCTCCTGAGAAATCTTTAGTCCTAATAAACCCAAGAAGGTCAACCAACAATAAAACTATTTCTGACCTAATCGTGAGGCTACGCTAACTCATAAATCACATAGGCCCTTACCTTGGCTGCTTTAAATAACATTTCTCTCTCTTCTAAATCTTTTCTGTGCTTCTCCAGTTGATCCAGCTTTTCGAGAAACTTGAGCTGAGACCTGGTATCACTAGACAGGATGTAATTTTCACTTGTCTGAGGGAAGAAAAAAAAAAGGCTATGACGACTATGGGTAACAACATTCTACATTAGGTAATATTGTAAAGTGATTAAAGGCAATAACACCATTGACAGCAAGCTACATTTTCAAGAGGTAATATTTTAGCATTTAACTTAAGAAAAATTTTGTCATCTTTAAATTTGAAGAGATGAGTAAGCTCTTGTTTCAAAGAGCTTTAATAGTTAATAAATATGATTTAAAACATAAAACAAAAATGTAAATGATGAATTAAGCCAAGTTGAGTCATAATTGACTCAATGCATCAAGTTTTGAGCTTAGACCTGGCATTAGGAAATAGAAAACAGGATAATGTACCATCAACCTATGATCTAAATATTTGTATTTAAATCACTGTCCATCTTTAGCAGACTGTAATAGTAATTACACCTGTAAAAGACAAAAAGCTGAAAACTACTAAAAACAATAAAAAAGATTAGCAAAGATGAAAATTATCACCCTGGTTTCCATTGTTGTAACGACCAAACCTTAACAAGTCCATACAACTACTGTCAAAAACAAAAGATCACATGGCAAATATTAAAATCATGAAACCCTGTTTTGGTTAACTCTGTAGGTAGTTAAATTTACACAGAAACTGTACTCAAAGACGCCAAGAATACAATTTATAAATTACAGCCATTATAAAGAAGTATAATTCTTTGTCTTAAATGACTCCAGCAATACGGCAAAGTTAAAATTCTTCCATTTACTCTGATATTCCAGAGTATAAAACCAGTGTTTCCAAATCTAAATATTTTCCCTAACTTTTCATCTGACATGATCACTTAATTTCTATATGGGAGCACAAATGGTTTGTGACTGAATGCTAACACACAAAGGTTGGTAGTTTGAACCTACCCAGCTGCATCACCAAAGAAAGGCCTGACACCACACTCCTATAAAAATGACAGCCAAGAAAATCCTGGGGAGAAATTCTGCTCTGTAATACATGGATCACCATGGGAGTCAACTCAAAGGCAAGGGGTTGATTTCTTAAATTAACAAAAATGTGAGTATGTTCATGCTATGGGGGTCCATCTCAATCAACATCTAGGACCTCCTGCCACCTATTCATTCCAATCCACCACCTGTGCTTTTGTTGTACTGTGCAATTTTCTGATGCTAGAAGCTATGCTGGCTGACAAGTTTCCCTGGAGCTAAAAGACTAAGGCCTTCCTTATAGCTGATAGTATACCATATATACTCGAGTATAAGCCAAATTGTTCCTGCACATTTTTAATGCAGTTTTTGTGGTAAAATTAGGTGCTTCGGCTGATATTCAGTATATACTTGAGTATATATGGTACCTTTGCCTACAATAGGATCCTAAGTTTGTCTCTATTTTCTTTTTATCATTTTATTGGGGGCTCATACAACTCTTATCACAATCCATACATACATCAATTGTGTAAAGCACATTTGTACATTCGCTGCCCTCATCATTCTCAAAATATCTGCTCTCCACTTAAGCCCCTGGCATCAGCTCCTCATTTTTTAGTTTGTCCGTATTTTCTCATTGATGATCTTTACAGCTCTGGGATTTACTTTTAGGTCTTTGATCCAACTTGAGTTTCTTTTGTACATGGGGTGAGGAATGAGTCCTGTTTCATTCTTCTGCAGATGAAGATCCATCCAATTGTGTAGGCACTATTTGTTAAAGAGACTCTTTTGTTCCCATTTAATGTGTTTTGGCCCTTTATTGATGATAAGTCACCTATAGTTTGATGGATGTATTTCTGAGTTTTCTATTCTGTTCCATTGGTCCATGTAGCTATCACTGTATCAATACCAGGTTGTTTTGACTACTGTGGCAGCAATAGGTTTAGGGGTCAGGAGTGAGAGGCATCCTATGTTGTTATTCTTCTTATGGAGGTCTTTGCTTATTCTGGGTCTCTGTGGTAGTTACATAATTTTGTGTCAATGTAAAGATGTAAAAGTGTAGGGGTGTAGTCTAGCCTGTTAATCAGGTCACAGACTGATGGCTCCTGAGGAGGGTTGGGAACCCCCCCGCCTCTCTCTCTGCATTCACCTTCCTGTTAACAAGCCATATGAAGACCTGTGGGAGCCCAGGAGATGTGTCCACTGGCACTGGCTCCATGAGACTGCACCCACTGGCCTGTGACGTTCCTGCATTCTGCATCATTGTATGTGGTTTCTTGAGTCTGAAAAGGGACTTATGAACTAGTATTGAACATACCGACTTGCGTTAGACTGAGCTGAGATGTTTTCCTGATATTCAGTTACTTCTTGATGAAACTCTTCCTTACACATATGAGCATCACTGGATTTGTTTCTCTAGTCAACTGGGCCTAGCACAGTCTCTTCCCTCTCAATATAGTTAGTAAATTAGTTTCTGTTAAAAATGCAGTTAGGATCTGTACTGGAATTACATTGTATTTGTAGATTGTTTTAGGCAGTATTTAGATTTTCACAATGTTAAGCCTTCCTATCATGAACATGGAATGTTCTTCCACTTATGTAGGACTCTTAGTTTCTTATAGTAGTGTCCTATAGCTTTCTTTGTACAAGACTTTTGTTACTCTGGTTAGGTTTATTCCTAAGTATATCCTTTTGGGGGTGGCTACTATAAATAGTATTCCTTTCTTGATTTCTTTTTCAGAGTTCTCTTCATCGGTATACAGGAATCCAATAGATTTTTATATGTCAACCTTGTATCCTGCCATGTTCTGGCATAACAACAGTGACTCCAATCTTATCTTCTCCCTTCCTGTTTATTCAACTGGCCTGAAGTATTCATGCACCAATAGATGAGGATTTGGAAGTGCCAAGGCAACTAGATCTTGTCAGGGTAGGGAGCCCCTGATAATATCACGGGTCCGTAGGTGCAACTGTACAGTAATAATATATAAATATTATAGTAAAGTCATAGAGAATGAGAAATAAGAGAATGCAAAATAAAGGAGCCAGACACATTTCATGGTAGCATGCTCACCTCAGTCTCTCTTGGTGGTCCACATGGCAATGGGAGATGAGAGGAGAGAAAGGGAGGGAGCGTCTGTACCGTTTTGGGGCTTTTATAGGTAGCCATTAGTAATGCATATTCAGGAGTTACACATGTCACAAGGTGGGTGGTAATCACAGTAAAGTCCCTTAGTTCACAGGTGAGGAAACCTAATACCTGCATTGGGGGAAGGCATGATGAGGGATGGGTGCATCTCCGGGAGGAGATAATCAAAGAATGTCTGCTTCTATAGGGAGACAGAATCAACCATGTGCTCACTTTAAGGCAGCATAGCTGTTAGGGGAGAATCTACAGGAATGACATTTAAAGCAAGATAATGTGCTTAGACTTTATTTTTAATTTAGCTTTCCAGATTCCCTCTGTTATAATTTAGGGAATATAGTCCTGTGGTCATATTTCCCTCAGTGTTAGTTTCCCACAATGTCTGAAATGGCTTAATGAAAAAAAAATTTTAAGAACCCAGCTATGAATATCAATCAAGTGAATTCTATCTAAAGGGAATATTATAGTAGCTTTCAACTGGAAAAAGTTTGAGCTTCTCTATGGTCAGTGGTACTTAGAGAACTATGTCTTCACTTAAAAACAAAACAAGAAAAAAAACCATAACATGCAGCAAGATCAAAAATGCTACACCACATGTGTCACTTGTAACTTACTTACTTGCTTTTCAGTTTATGGACTGTGACTAAATAACAGAATTTTATCTACCCAGGTAAAAGAATATCAAAAGTAAACGGATGTTCAGAGTAAAATGATGGTAGGCTTTTGCTGTAATAACAATAACCTGCTTTTGAGACACTCAATAGTGTAGAAATCACTATACTTCATAGGAAAAATAAATCCTCAAAGATGAACTGAAAAACAAGGACACGACTAGCTCTGTAACTCAAAATTCATAATAAAAAATCTATACAATATGTGCGTTTTTAAACTGGATCCAAATATAAATGAATACAATACTTCTTTGTTTAAAGGTTAATAATGATACATTTCTATATGTGCAAATCCAGACCATGACAAAATCTGTATTACAAAATGAGATTGTGAACAATAATAATTTATAAATTATCAAGGGGGAGGGAGAAAGGATGCGGAAGGGAGGGAGGGGGAAAAAAGGAGGAGCTGATACCAAGGGTTCAAGTAGAAAAAATGTTTTGAAAATGATGATGGGAACAAATGTACAAATGTGCTTGACACAATGGATGTACGGATGTATTTTGAAAATAGCTGTGGAAGCCCCCAATAAAATGACTAATTAAAAAAGTAAATACAAAGAAATAAAATAAAGTACCTCATTGATATTAATGTGCTTGGCAGCTTATTACACCAAATTTAATTAAAAGTTGAAGATAAAAATAAAGATTGAGCATGTGTGCTGGTAGGGAGGGAGATTAAGAGGAAGAGGCAGAAGGTTAAAGAGGCGGTGGTGGCAGGCTTGAAGCTAAGCATCGGGTCTTCTTAGTGAGATGGACCCTCCCCATTTTGCTTAGGGCAAGTAAAATCCTTGGAGGATGTGCTCCTGACAAATAAAAGAAACCTATCTGAAGGTTGCAGAACTCTGAATGACACTCAGAATACTATACATTATCTGGAAAATTTTATTTGGCATTAAATAAAATATCACTGTTTTGAATGGCTGATGATTGCAATTATTTCTTCATCTTTCCGGGATGCCTGCATGTCTTCTTTGGGAAATGTCTATTCATGCTCTCTGCACATTTTAAAATTGGATTGCCTTTTTATTACTGAGGAATTTATGTTTTCCATCAATTTTAGTAATTAGTCCTTTGTCAAAACATTGTTGCCAAAAGATTTTTCCCAGTTTGTCAGTTCTCCTTTTTAGATGTTTAATAGTATAGTTATGGTAAGCATTGTTTCCCCTATCTCTCCTTTTATGATCTTTATAGTTTTAGGTTTTACATGCAATTCTTTCGTTTTTCTTGAATCGGTTTTGTGTATGCTGAGATCTGGATCCTGTTTCATTTTATCTACAAACCCTATTTCTTGTGTTTTGATTCCTTGTTAAGTATCTATCTCTACCCTAGAGTCTGAATTGACTTGATGGCGTACAACAACAGGAACACAGCCCCAAACTCGTAAGGCTAACAATGAAGGAATTTGAGAGAAACATACAATTGCATGATATCCCGCTTTTAATGAAGGCCAGAAAAGCTAGATAGAAGATGAATGAGGAAACAGAAGGTTTGAATAACACTATAGACCAATTACACCTAATAGGCACACCTAGAATAAAGCTTCTTAAACCATAGGAGCTTGAACAATCTGGCCACCAACAGTATAAGGTTGCTGGATGCACAACCAATCATTAACTCAACATCAACCGCATAATGAAACTGAGGTGTTTCCAGCAGCATGTGCCCACATTACAGATCTCTTGATCACAAAGGCATCGGGAGTGGGTAAAGTTTAAGAAGCCCAGTTTTAGAACATGCCACCCGACAACAGTGTGTGTGTGGTCCACTCTCAGGAGAGAGAGGACATGGAACCTAAGACCAAAGGTCAACAAATTTACAAAGACTAAAATCATACAAAGTATCTTCTTGAAAGGTAGCTAGAATCAACAATGGCATGCAAACTGTATTACTCACAAATACATAGAAATTAAATAACACATTTATTAAAGATCCTAGGTCAAAAAAGAAATCTCAGAGAAACTTTAATCCTTTTTAGAGATGCATGAAAACAAAAAGACACCAAAATTCATGAGACACGGCCCAAGTAGCATTCAGAGGGAAATGTGTACCACTAAATTTTTACAATTATAAAAGAAGAAAAATCTGAAATCAATCATCTAAACTATGCCTTAAGGAACTAGAAAAAGAAGAGAACACTAAATCCAAAGTTAACAGAAGGGAGAAAATAACAACAAAACCAAAAAGATGAGAGTGGAGATAAACAAGACAGAAGAGAAAAATCAATTCAGACCAAAAGGTGATTCTTTGCAAAAACCAACAAATACTGGGAAACTTTAGATTGAATGACAGTTAAAGAGACAGTGAAAATACTAAAAACTAAAATCAGAATCGAAAGTGATGCTGTCAACCTCACAGAAGAAAAAAGATAATGTTTACATGCCAATGAATTAGTTGATATGGCTAAATAAAATGTCCATAGCTTTTACACCAGCAAATTCTCACACAAAGTGAAGTTCTGAAATTAAATAAAGTTCTTCTGCATTTCTAAATAAAGTAGAAAAATGAGAAGAAAACCAGAAAGATTCCTACAGGGAAATTACCAGTGGCATGGCAGTTTATATTTCCTTGTTTCCCTTTTAACCTACAGTGAGGACACCATGACACTGACCGTTTTTTTTTCTTTTTGACCATTCTTACAAACCTAAAATCTCCATCTTGCTCAAAATCTAGCTGTCAACATTTCTCTACACCGGGGAAAATGGCTGTGTTTCCCCTTCTATCTTTCATCATCCAATCATTTGTCCTTTTCCAAAACTATAATTCAAATACATGAAGTCCCTTTATCTTCACAATGGAATACAATTTGGTTCACAATACTAGAAATACGGTGGACAATTCTTCCATTTCGTTTTTCAAAAATAAAAATAAAAGCAGTCAACAGAATCCTAAGATTGCGGTAACCCTCCATGCATCAGGTACTTGGCCAAGTGCAGTTCACCGAGGAGAACACAGGTAACCAGCACTCTGTTCTAACAGATACTGCTTCCCAACCAAAAGCTTAAGGAAGAGAAGCTGAGGCAAAACTAATGCGTATTTCCATGGACACTGACATGGAGGCTTTGGATATCAACTTGAACTCCAGTTGATAATTTCACTTGTCGTGTTTAGCATATCAAAATGTAGCACATTAGAACAGAGACTTGAATTTTCTACCAATATGAAATATTTCAAGTCTCAACCATTTTCTTGCAAAATATATTTAGAATATAAACCCATGCCAAAACATGATCTGTAATATGACAGAGAGAGACAGAAGTTTGTAGCTCTTCAATGATTTCCTTTACCTTATAAGTCGTTATCCGATGGTGAGCGATGGCAGTCAGTTTTTCTAGAAGGCCTCGTAATCGCTCCTGTGTCGCACAGGAGATCAAGTTCACAGCATCAGAGTCAAGTTCCGTAATGTTATGCTTTTTACCTGTGGAAGCAGAAAAAATCCATTACATGTTTTAGTAGTGGCTGATAATTGAAATAATTAGCACAGCAGGTATTCTGTTCCCCCTGGAAGTCATACCCATTATGAATAAAGGTTTGAAGATTATGATTTTCCTGGTAAAGTCACAACTTCAAAGATCTTAGACATTACATTAATAAAACCTAGCCTGAAGCCTCAGAAAATATAGACATTGTTTCACTTAGCCTCTAGAATCATTCTCTTTGCAAGGTCATTTATAGGACAAAGTTAATAAGAACACAAATCAAGTCTAGCGTTCAGGGAGGAAAATGTTAGCTGCAAAAATTAGCACCATATTCTGTTAATTTTAGTAATTAAAAAAATAGAAAATTACATCCGCCTTATTTGACACTGTTAACAATTTATGGCATTTATTTCACAGAACTCAGATTATGGGTCTGTTAATGACTGGTCTACAAAACGAGTTTATATTTATTTTCTCCATTACCACTTGTGCTTATTTTGTACAAATTGTGCTGATAAATACTGATAAACTGATCAGCTTATCAATTTATAATAGGTTCAATAGGTTCAAATCCTCACCATGTAATTTGTGTTTAGCTTCTCTTTCACTATATTTCCTTTCCATAAACATCTTTCCTCCCTTCTCCTCACTAGAAGAAATTTTAAAGAAAATCATTTGAACAGACCCAAAAGTAAAGCCCATTTTAATAAATGAACTCTCTAAGTATTTCAATATTATTTCTAGGGCATTGTGAAATCTAAAGATAGGGGCAATTATGTAATCTAATTGAAATGGGCTCCTAAGAATGCTATGTGTTTGTTTTGAATATAGAGGCATACACAGAATTTTTTTTTAATTACTGCTTGACTTCTCACTGACTTATCTGAAATATACTCCCATCTGAGGGTGGAAAACAAGTGCAATAATATGCTTTGATCAATGTATTTGCATTCTTTGACATTACATAATATTACATTTTAATTCAAAATGTAATCTGTAGCAAATCAGATAGTAAAATGATGTAAAATTACCTTTCTTTAAGCTCACCTTTCAAAATATAGTCCATTACTTTTTAACAAAACTGAATTCATCTCCAGTCGCCAAGTCAAGCACTGGAGTACTGCCCCCCTTCCCCCTATACTAAAGTGACCAGATTTTAACATTGGTAAAGCGGGACACCATTGACCGGGGGTGGGGGTGGGGTGTTCGTGATTAAGAATTTGGTTCTCCCAGCATTCCCTATCTTGTCGTGCATTCTTTCCAAAAATTGGGACTTTTTAACGCCGTGGACGTCTGGTCACTTTACCACACTTGACATGAGTAAAGAAAACCAGCTGGTCTTTGTCAGTCTCAGGGTCAAGGCACAGAAATGGTATAGTGCACACATAGTACCTAACCAGTCAGTCTCTCTCTCTCTCTCTTTGTATTAATTTGAGGAGACTAAAGTCTTTCATGTCACTGCAAGTTTGCAATTAAACTGAAAAGGCAGCTTGCCTGCACAATATTGGTATGTTTTCTTCAATGCAACACAACATCTAACAACTACTAAGAAGTGCCATCTAACCACTACAACTGAACAGAGAGAACGCTAGTAATCCTTTCCAGGTAAAATTGGTGCAGAAAAAAAGCATAGTATGTCATGTTTATATGCTATAAGCACACACACAATTTCTCTCATTAATTAAATATGAATTTATGAATATTTTCTAGTGTCTAAACCAGGAACTACATTATATAATTTGTTATGTGAATTAATTTCTAAAATGAAGTACTTCCTTCTGGAACAGAATTCTAAGACAACTAACCTTGGCAGTCTAGTTTGATAACATTTTCTCTCAGACTGATGATCCCACTAGGTCAAGAATCCTAACTGTGCACTTACCAATGTCCAAAATTCTCTTTTGCAGCGCTCCAGTGAAAAGAAATGGTTCGCCTTTACATGAGCGAACAAGGGTGCCGACCCATTCAGAGTCTGTTGCTGAGATGCTGGCATGTTCTTCACTGAGGTCGACTCCGGCCATGGAAGTCACATCATTGATGTCATCGACATCTCTGACAACAAGAAGAGAGGTTATAGCTGTGTGTGTGTCTAAGTGTGAATGACACTACTCCAAAACACCTCCAGGAATTCAGACCAACTATCTTTTGGCTGAGAGTTGATTATTTCACCAGGAATGCCACGGGGACTCCTACTACTGGCGCATATTCCATGCTGGAAGAATAATTTAGAAGCAGTGTTGTGTTCTAATGCTCATCTTTTGCTCACCAAGAGGGATTTGGGAGTTACACTCATTCATACAAATCCCCTGTAATGACAAACAAGGAAATAAGAGTAAACACCTCTTTTTCACCTCTACGTCAAAGTTCACCATTCCACTAATGGGCAGCAAAAATCTCCACGTCCTGAAAGTCCATAACCTTGAGAAGCTCTGCTGCCTAGCTATTGTGAAACTAAGCTGTGAACACTAATTTTGTTTCTCTGCTTTAGACTCTTGGTGTGCTCTAATGCTACCAATTGAATTTGCTAAAGCACATCATCCAGCACCTGGCTGAACAAAAGGCCTGGTAAATCTTATCTACATGAAGATATGTACACACGGAGAAGCACACATTTATGTTAATACATATCTGACATAATATTTTCATCCAGCAACAGCTATAAGACTACAGTTCTAGCATCCACATGCAGCAGCTTCAAAAAGTTGAAAAAATTCCATTAGCCTCTTTCTCCATTTTCCCATGAACATGTTTGTGGGTAGAGAAGAGTAAGAAAAGCAATACAAAATTTCCCCCACAGCATTCTGATGTGCATATACAGTTCCAAGGACGTCACTAATCATAACTTACACAGTGAAGTATAACATAACCTGAAAAACATGATTAGGTACATAAATAAGATGTTACGTCTTTACTGTGTGGACCAACTGGTATATCATGCAGTCTCATGCCAATACACTTAAATTATGAACTTCCCTGTGGTAGCAGATTTGTGCATGGAGAGGAAATGTAAATTATAACTGTCAAGCACTAGAAATGGAAGCCTCTGGTGTTCAAGTTTACAAAACAACACATTAAGGATAAGAGGGAAAAGGCCCAAAGCTCACACATATGTAAGCAATGTACATCAAATAAATTTAAGTCAAGTGCTAGATCTAGCATCTGAAAGTGAAGAAAAAGGACAGTGGCCTGATCGACTTAAGAGTACATTAAGATCCCAACATGAGAAGATGCTTCTTTTCAACGGAGAGGGGAGTTAAAAGGAAACAAAACCAAACCTCAGACCACCAAATGAAACAAACAGTGTATGCATATAAGGACATGATATGAAAATGGTCAGACTCTATCTCACCAAAGGCCACAGAGAATATTTAAAAAAAACAGTACATAATAAAGTATGCCCAGATTTAAACGTCTACTATATAAGAATGGTAGAAACCATAAGCCTAAAAGCAGATGAAAGTCTGAGTAAAAAATTATTTTTAAAGGCCTGAGTTAAAAAAAACCAAAAATACCCAAAATGCCAAGTGTACATCAATCAATAGTCAACAGTCTTAACCACTTACTTAACATCTATGATGTTAAGAGAAACTTAAAACTTTCTCTGAATATAACTGAGATTAGCTATTGTCTAAGGTCCTTCTCAGCCAGGGAAAGAGTGAACTGCGTCTAGCAGGGAAGCAACAAAGCCCACATGGAAGCACACCATCCTGTGTGATCACAAGGTGTCGACGGGATCAGGTATCACAAGACCCAAAACAAGCAAATATATAGATGCAAATGATGGGGGTCGGCATGGAGACCCAAAGCCTATCTATAGATAATCGGACAGTCCCTCACAGAAGGGTCACAAGGAAAGAATGAGTTAGCCAGCGTGCAGCATAGCACCGACGGAACACACAACATTCCTCTGGTTCTTTTATGCTTCCCATTCCCCCACTATCACAACCCCAGTTCTATCTTACAAATCCAGCTAGACTGGCGCATGTACACAGGTACAGAAAACAACTCTAGACACAAAGAATCCAGGACAGATAAACCCCTCGGGTACCGTAATGGGAGTAGTGATGTCATGGGGCGGGGGGCCCGAAGGGCGAGAAACGGGAACTGACTACAATGATAAACGGATAACCCCCACCTCCACAAAGATGAACAGAAATGTGGGTGAAGAGAGACAGCGGACAGTGTAAGATATGAAAATAATAATTTATAATTTATCAAGGGTTCATGAGGGTGAGAGGGGGAGAAAAGGAGCTGGTAACAATGGCTCTAGTAGAAAGAAAATGTTCTGAAAATGATGATGGCGACATATGTACACGTGTTAGAAACAACTGATGTAAGGATTGTTATAAGAGCTGTAAGAACCCCCAATAAAATGAATTATTAATAAAAGAAAGAAAAGAGTGAGGCTGCTCTATTTGGGTGGAAATAATCAAGTTATACTGTGACATAACAAAAAAATGTATAGAATAGGCTGTATCTAAGGATAAGTCAAAAGGTTTTGCTTTTGCTCTGAGGGTGCCAATTCACACATGCATGTTTATTCCACACAAAGCATGCTTCTCAGATCAGTGGACAGCTGCACACAAGTGCTGTCATTAATACACTTGTCTTAGTCTCACTTCATTTAGTCTATCAGAACAGTGGCTTTGGAGATCTGCTGAGTCACTTAAATTCAAGGCAGAGAAGGTACGAAGATACTTTTCGGAATTCCAAAGGGAGAATCTTGCTATATTTTCAGAAGATCACAGGGAGGCTACAGGGTTGATATGAAGACACTGAGGAAGAGGCCTGGAGAGTTACACCAGGAATGTTTTTCCATTATTATGATACACATCTAACCAGTTTTCAAGGATGGCTTGTACTGCCCTATGCGTTTCATTGGGAAACCTTATCCCATGCCCCACCCCCATCCTGATTTTGTCTCCTCCTTTAGACTTCTCTCAGTTCCTGAAACTCAAGAACATGACTGAGTCTACAAGAGGGTACTAAAACTGTTCATTTTGATGAGGTGGAAATTGAAGAGTGTAGTATTCTTTGGTGGAAGGGTTAAGGAGATGCAAACATACCTTCAGAAGTGTATCTGCCTGATACAGGGCATGCCAAGAAAAAAAATAGCTTCAAAACTGGGTATTTTCGTTTCTGTGATTTTATAACAACACTTTTTTATTTACCTTGATATATACCAGGTCATAAATAACCAACAACCAACTCACAGCCATTGAGTCAATTCCGACTCATAGCAACCCTATAGGACAGGGCAGAATCACCCCCATGGGTTTCCAAGACTGTAACTATTTACAGAAATAGAAAGCCTCATCTTTCTCAAGCTGGTAGTTTTGAACTGCAACCTAGGGGCAGGAAGCCCAATGCGTAACACTATGAAGCCACCAAGGGTTTTGCAAACCTTGCTGGCTATTAGAAGGTTCCAGAACAGGTCCTTTGAAATCTCACCCCCAGGCTGGAGACCAATAGCCGGTCCACTTCTTACCAGTACTTAGCACTAGAAATGAACAGAATTCAATGAAGAGGTACTTCCACATATTTTAGAGTGTTCTTGTGGTCATTCTCTACAAATCGTCATCAGAGAATTATCTAAAAGGACTTATTCTTGCCTCCCTCCCCTATCTGTCCCCATGCTGAAAACAGCTCCCACCAGTATGCTGTCACTTGCCATGGTTACAAATGATAGCAACAATACACACGGACCCCGAATGAGGAAAGAGGGAGCCAAAATAAGCAGCAACCAAGCCACTTAAAATATTCTCAGATAAAGGAAGCAAAATGAAGGAAAGTGAAGATGATACAGTCTGGTAGTAGTATTACCAACAGGTCCACGTAGAAATAAAGGTTTTGATGATTAGGGATGTTCATCATCTCAATTTGGTTTTAATTTTAAAAGGTTAGAAAGATCTAGCCAAGTCTTTAGGCCTTCTGGTTTAATGCTTTTTGATGAGGTGCTCTGAAAGATAGCTTTTGCTCTAATAGAGTGGCACTTTAGAGTGTTTCTATGGGAAATAAATAGAAAGCCTTCCAATTTTTCCGATTATATGTCTTGCATCTAGCCTAATTTTCAGTTAAAAATTAAACCACTGTTCATACCTGTCTTCTTCCTCTCTTCTAAGATCACTAATGGTATCAGATTGATTCTGCGGAAATAAAAGGGCAGTAACTTCACGAAGTGCTGCTGAAACACGTGGCATTCTCGTGAACTCACCGTGATAGTCAAGGCTTTCCTAGTGAGATCCCAACTTTGCCCTCGCCTGCCTCCTGTCTATTAAATAGCTCCATCTGATTGTGGTTTCTGCTAAGGCTAACCTTACCTGTTCCAGCCTTCAACAGCCCTGGCTTCCTTATCTTCCAGTTGTCACGGCGTATCTGTATCCTAAGCCGCGTTCAGATGTTTCCTTTAGAAGTGCTGATTTAATTGGCTCCTACAAGCCCCACCACCCCATTTTATTAGGAACTAATCCAGACATCATACCATTCCATAGTTCAAAAACATCAAGCAGTATTGTACAATTGCTACCAGTTTCAAAACATTTACTTCCTTCTTAAACTCCTTGATATCAGCTCCCCTTTACCTTCCCCCTAGCTCCCCACTGTACCCACCAAGAACCCTCATTCTAATTGTTGTCTCTATAGGTTCATCAATCCTGGGTTTCATACACTGGAAAAAAAAGTAAAACAGGTAACAAAGACTCAAGAAGAGTACCCACAATGACAAAATACATCAGAGACAAACCCCAATATGGGGGGGAAAAAGAGAAAATATTTAAAGCCAGATAACCAAAGTGTTATCAGAGGAGTTAAAGTGACAATGTTTTTACCATGCAATTTAAAAGTGTTTATACAGTTGCTACAACTTTTTACTTTCTGAGCACATGATTTTTGTCTGTTTGATAAACCTTATTCTCCCTTTTACCAATGTATTTGCCTTTAACTCCAACTAATTTTATTAATTATCGTCATCACCTGCTATTCCTAGAACCACCAGTGTTATATAAATCACTGAGAAACCGATACGTGCTCAAAACCTTGTGCTGCTTATTATA